TTTTTCAACAAAGACCTATCCGTCATATTTTGCAGCGACACAATTACGCCCAAATCATGATCCTTTCCACCCGCATAAATTATCAGAATTATGACAACTTACCATATCAGGAAGTTTCTCAGCTTCAGCTGCTTCCTCTGCACTAGCATCCCTATGAGGTGTCTTTGTTATTTCGGCAGGAATTTCAGATAATCTAGCCTTTTTGATAGGCAATGAGCCGTTCAAATTGCGCAGAGGGCCTAGATAAGAACGATGGACGAAGAAACATGAAATAAAAAACACATTCTCACCTTTTTCACTTTCCTTCCCAGGCTCTGGCTGAAGAGATTTTTGAAGAGTGTCCGAACGTTGTGGTGATGGACCCTAGAGATTACAGTTGGTAAAAGGAAAAAGACAAATAGGCTGAGAATCCTGCCTGCAAAGTTGAGAATGTGTTCATGGTCAACTCCCTCTTCCTCGACATATTCTGTGGAGCACTGAAAGTCAGTTTTTCTCCACACAGTATTTTTAGTTTTATAGAAATTCACTTCTCTGCGCAGGTATCCGGAATGCACGTTACGTCAGCACTGTTGAATTTGTCTTTTATGGTCGTGGTTTGCCTCGAAGGATTCACAATAGTGTCTTCTGCCAAAACCCTAGTAGATATAACCTTCTCATAGGGTTTACGATTAGGTGCAAATATACTTTGCTGAAAATTATTTCCTTCAACATCAAGGTCACACATGAGAATGCAAACCTTTTTCTTCCGAGGAGCTGATTTAGAAACTGTAGAGGAAGATTGAGTCGTACTGCTAGATGCATTAACTATAAATGGATAGATAAGCGAGAGAGGTAGGTCGGGAGAAATACTACAGAACGATCATTGAAATAATTCAAAATTAGGCATCGACTGATGCGTAAACACCTCAAGAATTATCTTTAAATGCAGAAATCTTTACAGGCTTGGAACCTCAAATGAAGAAAGAACTTGAGCTACTCAAATTTGATAATTTTATGGATAGATTTTCTACGAATATAACCCGACCAAAAACTATCAAAATTAGTATTCCCGTCTCTGAAGCTGGAGAATAGACCTATCCGCTCAAGTTCATAAAATTTTTGAGCTAGTCAAGCCATCTCCACAATTCC